AACACAAGCCTACCATGATTCTTCCCAGTGATTGGGGGCAGGGAAACAATTACACACTGTATGTGTTCAACAATGTCCCTGGTGATGCCGATGACCCTCATTACAGAAATCCCAGACAAACAGGCAATGTCAGGTATGAGATTGACTTCCGGGCAGCGGTGGATCATAATATTACCGTGGTGATCTGGAGCGAATATGAAAACTTATATGAAATCAATCAGTTCGGAGGCATCCTTTATTCTCTCAACCGCTAAGTCATGGAGTTTGTGGCTCTCAGCGATACAGTGCTCAACATCTTAGCGCGAGAAGATCCATTGTTAAGAATTTCGTTTCGTGGTGTGTTTCCAGCAGATAAGGTACCTTCCGTCCCTAAAGGAAGACGTTTTACTGATGCCTATATTGTCAACACGGATCCTGCAGGAGAAGCGGGTGAACATTGGTTAGCCATTTGGACACGTTTTGGGGTTTGTGAAGTCTTTGACAGTTATGGGTTACCCTTATCTACCTACAAGAATCCAAAGTTGCAAGCATGGTTGGCGCAATGGAAAGAAGTGGTCTTCAGTGATATGACAATTCAAGCTTTAGATAGTCAAACCTGTGGACATTATGTCTTAATGTTTTTAAAAGCTAAGGCCCATGGAAGTACGTTTCAAGATTTTTTAGCACAGTGGAACAAGGAAAATTTAGTCTTAAATGATAGTCGAGTCGCTCAATCGTTGAAACGCCTAGTTAAAGAAGAATTGTATCAGGCAGACGTTAGTTGTAAACAAGCCAATGTAAGCCGTGGAACGTTTTGTTATTTTGATTCTCAATAAAATTCATGTTACATTATCACCTGTCCTCATTTCTATCATGATAATTAGGGGTGATGAGCAAAAACTATGTAAGGGAGACCACGGAACATTTGATTCAGTATACTTCACCTCGCTTGTATCAAGAGATATAGGTAGAAAAAAGTCGAGACCAAAAAGAAGAAGGCAATTAGGGGGGGGCTAGATTTCGACGAAAACCACGACTCATCGATAAAATTTCCGAAGCAGTAGCAATGGGATTATCAGGCCCTGCTCCTAGTTTTGCGGAAGCCGCTGCTTTTTTAGGAAAACAAGCCTTTAAGGGTATAAAAGACAATGTGCAATATCATAGACGTCGAACAAGATGATTCGCCAACCGTGTAGTGTGATTGTAGCAGGTCCCTTTGGGAGTGCTAAAAGTGAACTGGTGGAACAAATGTTGAAAGACAAGAAACTGTTTTACCCTCCCCCGAAAAAGATGGTGTATTGTTACGATCGTTGGCAACCTAGATTTGATCGCATGAAAAAACAATCCAAGGTGACATTTTACAAAGGACTCAGGGAGGGACTCAGGGAAAGCGGCAGCTCTAGGTGGAGTGACTGCTGCAGCTAGTTATGGTACTAAAAAAGTCCCTGATATAGCAAGACATAAGGCTATGACACGTAAGCGTCGTGTAAAACGTAAGCACCGTTAGTATAAAAATAAACGCACACTTTCAGTGCGTTAAACAACAAGATGACAGGACGTATGTCACGTCAAGCTGCTTTTTTAAAAAGTGCATTGAATGAAGTCAAGTTACATAAACGCCAACAACAATTACGACATGCGAATACAGATCAAATCAATGCAGTGTGTGAATTAGTCATAAATACAAAAATTAAGGAGACTCACACCTTATGCTAAAGAACTCCGTGTCATAGCCAGCCCTCAGCAAAGTATAAAAAGGCCACGTGGATTGATGATGCATCAACTAGGAGGAAGTGTTTCGCAAGAATTACGACGTAGTTATCATTGTGGTCAAAAACAGTATCGTTACTAACATGATGAGGAGACAAGTACTGCTCGATCAATTGCTTTGTATAGCGCAAGGTATTTTGTCTGTAGCTGAGATGTTGAAAGAGATTCAAAAAAACTGAAACAAAAATTTTCCTCCCTGTTTCAACGACGACCTTAAAACGTATAAGTAGCAGATCATGATCCATAGGGTCAACATTTTTCAAGAATGGAGGGCATAAGCCGTACACCCGTAGAAGATTCTGTAAAAGGTTTACGTTTGCGTGATCAGTACAAATCCAAACTCTTGGATGACAGTCGTTTAACCAAAGCAGCCGATTTAGCCGCTCAACAACATGTGCTCTTTGAAAGTAAAGCCCCTGATACATGGATTGAGCCACGATTGAAAGCAATAGGTCGACAATTACGGCAATGGACCAAAAAAGTACGACAACCAGGAGGAACACGAGCGATTGGGAGTAGAGAATATTTTGAGGATGCGTCAGATGAGTAGGATAATTTAGCTGTAGGTCCTGTGCATCAAATGATTAGCAAGATAAGCCAAAAAGGAATAAAAAGACCAGCAACTCCAAAGAACCCTGACATAAAAACCACCCAGCAGTAAAAAAGCCAAGTTTTCCTTACCCAAGACACCGTTAAAAAAGTCCAGTGTTAAAAAGTCGACTCCTCCATTCAAGACACCTGAAAAGTCGTCAGAAGAATTAGCTACTGAGCTATCATTTTCGGATACAGTAGGTGAGTCTCCTTGGAATACGGGTGCTGAGTCAGCCAGAGATACCATTCGAAAAATCAAAGAAGGTGCTAAACAAGTAAAAAAGGGTATTTTGAAAAAGTTAGATCCAGCACCTGGTTGGAAACCATTTGGGACGCCTTAAAGTGAAAACTCGGTGGCAAGGACTGGAAGTAAAAAGACAACAAGGCACAAACGTCAAAAGAGAAGCCGACAACGAGGTGGGAAATTTGATCTTCAGAAAGCAGTGAGCAAGACTGGGATCGAGTTCCATATTCCTGGAGAATATCAGTATGCGGGGCCTGGCACTAGATTAGAGAAGAGACTGGCTAGAGGAGATCCAGGCAAAAAACCGACTCGACCGAATCTCAAAGCAGCACGATATCGCGTATAGTTACGCAAAGAATTTAAAGGATAAATGGCGTGCGGATAAAGACATGATCCGCTCCATTGACCGATTGCCTGGTAAGAAAACCTTGACGGAAAAAAACAGTGAAAAAATAATGCAAGCCAAGAAACGTCTGAATTTGTAATTTTTTATTCACTTTTGAAAAATTAAATTGGTTGTTGACAAATCAATGTGTGGTGCGAAATTGTTTAGAATACAACGGAATCATACTTTTAATGTCTTTTTACTATCTTGCTGTATTTACAAATCAAGTAACAAATGAATTTCGTGTCCTATACGTGAATATCCGTACGGATACGATTTTCGAGTACTTACATCAATCACGCGCTTATCAAATACTAACTTATAGCTTTTGACACGTTGAGTCAGTTTAATGCGTTTGTTTGTGACATCCCTTTCAAAGAAATTGAGGTTTGTCAATTGTAATTGACGCGGTTCCTCTTGGGGGTCTTCCAACTCAGCGAGAATGTTATTCTTTAAACTTTCAAAGTTTAACACGGCTGACCCGCGAACATTTAACGTAAAACCACGCACTTTACATTCAAATTTGCCTCCATGTGTTTTGTACCCATAATGCTTTGCACCTCCACTAGCAAACTCCACGATTGGGTCACATTCTGTTTCATCTGTCATCTGACCGAGAAAAACGCCTGTTGGAATGTCAGACTAACCAGGTCTCCATCTGTAAATGATACTGTCCGTATCATAATACAAAACTTGTTCTTTCAAGATGTCTAATCCATCGTACAATTTCAAGCGTGCATGGCATGTTGTAAATGCCGCGATAGAAATATTGATTTTATCGCTTTTTCTGATGTTCTTCTTCTGCATCGACGATCACAGCTTCTAAAATCTCTTCATTGAAGATACGCAGTTGCTTAATCTCTTTTGCTTTGTCATCCAATAATCGATACAAAGCACCAAGGCTCGTCAGTGTTTCTGTTTTAGGCTTGTTTTGTCTTTCTCCAAATTTGCTCCAAAAACTGGAAAAAAGAAAGAAAACAATCAGTCAATGACTCCCTAACACAAGGGTTAAAACTTGTTTTTTGTATGGTAAACAGAATTCATTTCAATTAGGTTAAAATGCAGTGTTTTACTGCAACTTAAAAGAAAAACGTGCAGTGTTTTTCACACTTTTTGTCCGAAATAAACCGTATTTGCATTAGGGTATGCAAATACAAATCATTTCATATAGGTTTAAATGCAGACAAAGTCAACAAATTTACCTGTTCAACATCAATTTCGCTACTGTTTTTCTCCCAGGATTTTTCTGCACATGTTCCAACAGGATCCCTTCACGTTCCTGATACTAACGGATATACTCTGCTTTCTGTTCAGGCGTTGTACCATCTACTGGCCAACCAGCACACTCTTGCTTGATTTTAAGCCACATGTTTACATATTCCTCAAACAATCCTGTCACCTGGTTTTCCTCAGGAAAATGCCAGACTTTACGGATTTTCAAGATTTGGTATACTTTCTCCACAGCGCGCACAAGTTCCGGAGAACACCAAGTCCCTCTTAACATCCGTTCTTGATCTGTGTGGTGGCACATCTTGGTACGCTGCAACATATTGTCTTTGGCTTGTTCTTCGCGAACACACGCAGCACATAATGGAAACGTCAATTTTCCACCACTTCGGACAGGGAGAACAGGATGAAATAAAAATTCCGGGGGGAGAATGTCCACTTTATCTAGACCAAACCAATGAGCAATGTTTTGACCCTGTGGATTTGAATAAATTTGAGGCTGCCGTACAGGATAAGTACAGTTTTTATTTACCCATGGGTAAAAACTGGTCACATCGATATACTTTATCTCTTCTCCAGGTTCTGTGGCCTTCGCATGTAAACAAACTGCGCCAGTTCGCCCCCCAAGGAACCCGTCACGAGGATCCATGGGTCCTACCAGTTCAAACTCTTTCAAAAAGGCTCCCATTTCTAAATCACTCTGTATCCAGCTTGTCTTAAACGCTGCGTTTTGAGGACGCTTGCTTGATACACCTCGTCTACAGTTCGATCGCTGTGACAATTTCGTCTCTGATGTCTGGAATTTTAAAAACATTTCACACAACCGTGATAATAACAACCGTGAAATTCGTATACAGTGTTTGTTCTTGGATTAAATCCACCCACAAAATAGCTTTCTGCGGCAGTAAGCACTCTCTGTTCCCCTCCATTTCTCACAAACATAATCTCATTGTCTCCGTCCAATTTACTTTCTTCAAAATAAAGCCATTTAAGTGCGACTTTGCTTTGATTGACCTGAGCCCCATGCCATCCGCGAACGGGTTCCACTGCAATCAAATCAGGTTGTAATAATTTTTTTCGCCAGAATAAATTGCACGCACTCGCGATCGTAACACACCTTAACAATGGATTAAATCCAGCAATGGTAGAAAATTCTTCCACGAATTTCTCACAGCCCGCTTTCAATAACTGAGCATCACTTTCACAGTATTCCTGCAGTTCCTTTTTAAAATTAAAGACAACATTTCTGGCGACTTGATCAGCATGCCAAGCAAGGAAGGCGGGTTTCTCTTTAGGATCCATTGAGTCTGGGTCGTAATATTCCACATTGGGGATACGCCCTTCATACAATAAATTAGCCTCGACGTGGAATTTGGAATCTTTAAAATGTATGGTTCCACTTTGAAAATGCAGCACTTTCGCCCCTACGGTCAATTGATTCGCTACTTCTCTCTTTTTTTGTAGAGTTCATCCATGATAAAAATCCCGTCAAATCCCTTCATGTTATGAAAAAATACTTGAATGTCACGTTCTTTCTCATTATCTTCAACTTCTGTCAGAACATCCAGGTCGTGCACAAACTTTTCCGTACAGTCTAATCCAAGATGACTGACCACTGTATCGTCTTCGGAGGTTCGCATAACAAATAAGATCAGGAATAAAGTGATTCTCGGCCCCCAACATACATTCAAAATCTGCATACACTAAAAGCGGTGATGGGGGAGGCTGTTTTTGATCTTCGTTGTCATCTGATTCTCCCTATTGAAGTGGATCTTCAAAATCTTCTGCGTCTTCCACTGTCTCTTTTTCTTCTTCTATTTCAGGCTGTATGTAGCACAAATGTTCATTGATATTGACAAATTGTTTACAATTCCTACATGTACGGTGATAGGATTTGTGCGGTTTCTTTTTATCCACTTGATATTCTTGAGCATACACCAGACACCTCCTGTATTTGCAACACAGTTTATCTTTCTTATGCTGTTCCGAACAGTCTTCCCCATAAAATAAACAGTGACAATCTCGACATTCAAAGTTCGGTTTCAACCAAGCAGCATAGTTTGGGCACTTCTTGTTTTGCCGTAAACAAGCTGGACAGTTTTGTCCTTGGCAATTATGATGCGGAGCACTTTCATGATCATAACCACGCTTACAATTAAAACAGAAATAACTGCGGTTAATAAATGCCGGGATGGATGTCAAACCATCAAAATGACCATCCGTTTTCACCAGCTGAATTTTGGTTGTACTGTGCATCTTTAAACAGGATGACAGCATTCTGAGCACATACCACTACAATTTGGTATCCCTGTGGTCCCAAAAAATCTTGAAATTTTTGCACGTGGGTCAAATTGCAAGGTCCTTCAGGAACACCGGCTTCTTGGTGTAATAATTTGGCTAAACGCTCTTCAATGGGAGGGCCATTACGAAGATTCACCCAATGACTTCCCTGATCCCATTTTTCTTTCATTGTGACAATCGCTCTTGCACAAAAAAGATCGTCCTTGTTCTTAATCTCAATGACACATTTTTTCTTCGAGAATTCGCCCACACTTTTTGTCCGGGTTTATCCTTTTTAAGTTTTCGCCCGCTGCCTGGGTTTACTTGACTGATAAACATCAGCGACACATCAAACCCCACTTGCAGGTTAAAGGATTCGTTTGAATTCAGTTTCTTGGCTAAGTGTTCCAACAATCCTTGGACGCGGTCACTACGGGTAAACCATTCTTTTAAATTGAATATAGTACTGCTATAAGCGTGGTGAAATTCTTTCGAATTCAACGACAGCTGAACTCGATAATTGATTGGAATTTGCTGCTGTCGTACAATATCATCCACGGCAGTAGCGATGGCGTCCATCATGGCTTCTCCACTTTCTTCTCCATCAACTTCTCTCAATTGCTCGAATCTTAAATTATAACGAATTTGCGTGACCGATCGTCTTTGCCAGGTACGCGGAATTCCCATTTGACTAAACTGGGCTCGAAAAAGCGTACCCCTACCTCCGCCACGTTGTTCAAACACACGATAACCAGTATTCATTAATTCATCTTCTTCATCGAGAAGTAAGTGGTCAAAGGTTTGAAATTTCGAGTTGGCCATGCTAAGACAGTCAAAAACTGAATGATGAAATGGGTAGGACACGGTCTTTTATCATGGAAGAAACGTGACTTGTATCGCGTTAATAAAACCTACGTCACAGTCCATTATTTTAGAATTACGTATATGGTTTGGGGACACTTCGTAACTCATTATATGGTTCGGGAACACTTCGTGACTCACTATATGGTTCGGGGGACACTTCGTGACTCATTATATGGTTCGGGGACAATTCGTGACTCACTATATGGTTCGGGGGACAATTCGTGACTCATTATATGGTTCAGGGGACAAATGAGAAATTACGCAATTCCAACATAAAGGGCAGCGATGTAGTTTCTGTTTATAATGAGTCACGAATTACTACAACAAATTGAACTCATCCCTGTTTCAATCTGTTTCCCTTATGAACACACTACAACAAATTGAACTTATCCCCGTTTCAACTTGTTTCCCTTATGAACACACTACAACAAATTGAACTTATCCCAGTTTCAACTTGTTTCCCAAAAGAATACCCTACAACAAATTGAACTCATCCCTGTTTCAATCTGTTTCCCCGAATATAAGTCAATGAAAACACACAGCCATGGTTTTTATGAAAACCTAATTACAAGTGGGACGTCTAATTGTTCTAGTAACAATTGCCCTGATTTTTTGTATTTTTCCTAATTTTACAAGTAGGACGTGTAACTGTTCTAGTAGCAATTGCCTTCATCTTTTACGTCTGTCCTAATTTTACATTGCTCTAGTAACAATTGCCGTTTTCTTAAAAAATCAATTTCAAAACTAAATGAAAGACCCGACGGTGCAACCGTTTCCTTGAAAGTGCGTGCTAGTTTAAAATAAAAAGTCCCCTACAATAGTGTGTTCATATAATACTTGACATTCCTTTTTGGCCATCCTTTCCTCTTTGAGCGATAATTTAATCTTTCTCGTTTTGACATAGTCATCCAAACACAATTCACTATCAATGATTCTCATACAGTGACAACAAAAATCTGCACACCAATCTTTCAAACACCAATTAATCCACAGAGTAGCTGAACATACATCTAACTTGGTAAGCGCTTGCATACACTTTCTACAAAAAATAATTCAAAAGTGTTCTAGTAAAGGTTACAATTCTACAAATGCGTGTACCCACATAAGCGTGTGTGAATTTTTCAAATTCAATATCGTATATTTCTTGCGGTGGCACGATCAATTTTTCGCAACGTAACCAACCATCAATCAACATTTCTTAGAAGCGAGATCGATACAACTCCACTATCTTAACCGTTTCTTGAAAGTCCCATGATTTCCCTTTTAACTTTCCGTCAATGGTGCAACGTAAAAATTTTGAGCGTAAACAATGCAAACAAAAGAAATGGCCTTCTGTTCTAACCCAATCGGTCAGATCACACACCGTTAAACTTTGAACACATGTCAAGGCGGCACTAATAAAAATGAAAACGTGTAAAATACAGTGAATTGAGTAATAACATTTGTTGCCCATAAAAGTTCATATCTATGTTTATGTCATAAAAATAGCTGTATAAAAACCGTGTACGCGTAATTTTCCCATCCATGGTACGTGCAAAAAATTTCACTCGAAAGCAATGTCTGCAGCAATAAGCTCCTTTCAATTCCACCCAATCTGTTAAATCGCACACTTCGGATTCTTCAATTTGGGTTAATACACCACTACAATTAATAAAAACCCAAAACGTCATAAGTGCGTCTTAATCCAGATAATCCAAAGCCGGTTTGTTTTTATATAATTTTTCAAGTCGGTTAAATTCATTTCTTAAAGGACGCTTTCCCATTCTTAAGTGGACTAGTCCATCTAGGGTTAATTCCAGATCGTTAATTCTTCGACAATGCGCGCATGAACACAAACTAATTGATGCGAGAGAAGAGTCTCCCGAAGAAATCCAATGCGTAGAAGGACAAATATGCCTGACTAACACTTCATTCAGGGAATGCCTATAAGTCAGAAACATCAAACGCTCTTTGACTATAGCGTGGCGCGAAAAAAGCACGTCTTAGTTCATAGTTATATTCTAGTACGGGCTGATTGTTATATAATCTTTGAAGTTTGCTAAATTCATCTCTTAAAAGATATTGTGGTTTGCCCATTCTTTTATGCACCACACCGTCAATCGTTTTCACTAACAAATTAATACGTCTACAATGAATGCATACTGGTAGTCGTCTTAACAGTCGAAAACGCCCAAACGAAGGGCTTCTTTCTGGTGAAATCCAGTCAGTTGAAGGACAAACTGATAACAAATTGATACGTTTATAAAGATTGACGCAGACATGAAATAGAGAGCGTCGTTCATATTGCGAGACTTGAATCATTTCATCCAATTCTTGAAACACATGTCTATAACTGAAGTAAGTAGAGACATAGTTTTACAGGCCAATTGCAGGGAATCAAATCATGTAGAATCGAAATCTCATCCATTGCCAGTCAAAAAAACACAAATTTTTTAAGGGTAAGCGATTTGCCAAATGTACGGTTATGTTCTTATGTAAGGTAACACACACCTGAACTTCACTCGATGTTCCTCTCGGAATTTATCCCTCATCTGCTTATAATCCAATGCTTGGAGTTTTTTTGCAATGGGATAATGTGCTGTAAGAAACATCTCCGCTTGTTTTCCGAGGAAAGGAACAGCTTGCAGCGCTAATTCTTGAAGAGCTTTCATCTTGGGGTAACGTAAGAGCGACAACGGGTGTATTCACTCAAAGACTGAATGCTAACTGACTATGAAACGTGCTCTCTTATCCCTAGCCTACACAACAGGTGGACGTAAAGGCGCGGTGGATGAAAGACTGAATGTTGCGCAAATTTACATACGACGCGCTCCGAGCGGTGGATCAAAAAATTTCAACTTGCGGGAATTTACATACGATTGTTTAAAAATTCTCAACGGTTTTATTCACTTTATCGCAAACACGGCTAAAGAAGCAATTCTTGAACCAGTACTGATTTCTACACTGTTCCCGCCGAAACAGAGTCCGCGATCCTGTCCTTATGGAGTGCCAATTATATTAACAAATATCACCACCGCGAGATGCATACACAATCCAAGTCCCAGTTTACCCGGGATTTTAATTTAACCAAGGCGTTAGGGACTGGTCAAAAAGTATAGGGGGGGGTGGGCCGGAGCATTTGGAAATGTGGTTGATAAAAAACACATGACCCACCCCCTCCCTTCGGCACAAAAATGACTGACCCACCCCTAAAGCAAGGTTGGAAATTGCATGACCCACCCCCTAGTTAAAACATGGATGTTTGGTTTCCTCTAAGGCCATCCCCTTTTTTCTCTTCGTTTAACGTCGAAAGCGTTTCCTGATATTGGGTCGGTCGGTCGGATTGAAAAAAAAAAAAAAAAACTTTAAAAAAAATCACAAGAAGTCTCAGAATAGTAGGCCCTGGTACCCCAGGACAACGTTAAAAGTTAACATTCACACATTTGGATTAACAAAATGTAAAATATACTGTGAAAAATAATCATGTTTGTGTTCTTGTTTTTCTCTGTGCTGTTACTATGCTCATTTTTCAGATTAAAAGAATTATTTCAAGTGAAAAATGGTGTAACTATGTCGTTACTTTTTTTAAAAAAATGCCAAAAATTTGGGTCGGTCGGACGACGGTAAACGGAGAAAAAAAAGAGGATGGCCTAAGCTTGTTCTGTGCTTGACAAAATTTGTTGATACACTGCTACAACCAATATCAAAATCACAGAAATCATACCTTTCACTGAAAAGGCAAATGTGGAAAACCGAACATTTCTTGTTTCGATGGACGTTATGAGTCTTGACACAAATATACAGCAAAACGAGGGTATATTGAAATTGTCTGTCACAACGCATATGAAAATTTCTACAAAAATAACCCATCCCTACACATTACTTGCCGGAAATTCTTAGATTAATCCTCAAAGAAAATTTCTTCCACTTCAACGGAAAGCACTACCTACAAAACCATGGAACTGTAATGGGCACAAAGACAGCAGTTTTGATTCCTTTGCCAATATTTTCATGACATATATTGAAACAACAACTCAAGCAAAACTGTCTTTAGAACAACAGTTTGGAAACGCTACATACACGATATCTTTTCCCTATGGGACATGAGTAAACCAGACATCGAAGCCTTCATTGAACAAGCAAACCTACATCACCCAACTATTAAATTCATGGCCGAAACATTTGACACTGAGATGCAGCGTTTTTAGACACGGTTGTATACAAAGGCACAAGATTCAAGAAAAAATCTATCCTTGATGCAAAGACACATTTTAAACAAACGGAAACCTTCTTGCACACACATTTCACCTCGTGTCACCCTCCAAGTGTTAAAAAAGGATTTGTCAA